CTCCCCTCATAAGCAGTCTGCCCACATGTGATCAATTGCAGTACAGAGGGTTTAGTTAAGGCTGTGGCAGGTTTAGACAGTGGATGCTTTATAGATGTTGGAAACTATTTCGAGTGAATAGAAGTAAGGACATTACACAAACACTCCCCCACCCCCTGATTTCTACCAGCTTATATAACAATTTGATCCTATGCAAAAAATGAGTGTTAAATCCTCATCATTTCAAAGAGAGAACCAGGCTGGAGGTATTGCACATTGTCTCAATTGGACTGGGGCTCTCTGGACCAGTCCCTTATCAGAACTGCCACCAAATTGCGAGTGGTCTTGGGTCACTCACTTCTCTTTCTCTGCCTCAGATTCCCATTCCCCTGATTCCTCTCAAAACACTTACAAATGCACAGGGTAAATACTCATCTGCAATATCGGCACAGAGTCACAAACAGTCTATGTGGCATGTAGCCACTCTCTCTCATCAGTTCCCTCTTTTTTCACTCACAATTGTTCTTGAATCCCAGATATTCTTGTGTGATTGCAATTTCACTAAACTGTCTAGCTGTGAAATGTAGATTATTAGCTGGTTAGTGGATTTTTGATGACTTTTTAATGAGGAAACACTGTCCTTGAAAAACGTATTATAAGCTCTGTTGTTAATTAAGCTGCCAGTTCAAAAAATAATTGTGGGGTAATTAGAAGGTAGGCTCATCTTACAAGGAGTAAATGGATAAATTCTTTAGGGTCATATTATTATAGGGTCAAACAATGTACCTGGATTGGAATTGGACTTTCATACAAGTATTTTCATTTGTTTCCATTTCCTCTTTCTCCTTCCTGCCATTTGTTAAAACTAAACTACCCTGATAGTTTAATCTCTGCCTACCTTTGGAAAGAGATTTTTTTTTCCTTTTCCTTTTCTTTTAACCCCTTTTTCCTTTCCATTTAATAGGGCCAAGTCTGCATTTAGTAGACATCTCCACATGCCTTCATAATACAGGGCAGTGCAGAAGATATATCCAACACAGAGTGCTTACTCCCAGAAGAAGAGAGAGGGCTAGTGACAGAACTGTCTCGTTTACAGAGGGAGCATTTAGTTGTGCAAGCATTAGATTACAAATCAATAAGATACTAAATTTTTTAAGAACAGGAAAGCCAAGTCCCACATGAAGCAGCCATTGACTAGGAAGAAAGGATTTCTGAGACATAAGCATGAGACGAAGCTTATATTTTAGGGCAAATTCAGCACCTTTTCTAGCAGTGATGGCCAATTCTCTCTCCCCTCTTTTTCTCTTCCAAAGCCTTGATGCTGACCCTTACTCAGGTTTAGCAGCACTCTGTTCAGATGGCAACTTCACTGAAATCAGCTTAACAGAGACTGAAGTGCTGTTCAGCATATGTGTCAGGGCCAGCACCAGATCCAAAGAAGTTAAATATTTATCCATTTTTGCTTTTTACACAGGATGCAGAAGCTCTCCAGAGCTACAGATGCGGAGAGACAGAAGAAAAAAGAGCAAGATGTCTGTGTGGCAAAGAAAAGATGGCAAACAGGCAGATAAATTTGAGGCATTGGATATAGCAGCATTAAGAGAATTAGGACAAGCAGACAGCACGGAGACATTCGCCTGCTGTATGTTTTGAAAATGATTCATTCTTGTGCCTAAGCCGCTGATAGAGACAAATTTCTTTGCTGCCAATTACATTGTAAGGAACGCAGTTGGCACTGAGATCTGTGCCTCATTGGTCCTGTAAAGGGGAGTCTTTGTAGTCGAACGATGTTTCTGGACAAATTGCACCCTGATGACCTTGTACAACTCCTGTACCTTGTGAACAGGAAGTCAGGCTGGAGCCTAACGTGTCTACAGATTGAATATTAGGGGATAGGTGATGTAGAAATGAATCAGGTTTTACATCAAGCTGAAGCACAGATGAGAGGAATAAGAAGAGTTCTTTGTAGACAGGAAAGGGATCTCCTTACTACGGAAAACCACCAGGAATTTACAAGAAAACTACCAAATCTTATTGGTGCACATCAGAACAATCCTTCTTAAAGACATGTTTCTTTTCCTTTTCAGAAAATGCAAATGAAATATCGCGCCATGGTGAAGTTTAAATTATACCATTCACCTTGTTTCACTCCCATTGACAGGCACTTCACTCCTGTGAGGTCTTTGGCACCAGTGCTCAGCCTGGCCCTGACATCTTCTGCCATAACTGTTAGCAGCTGTCCACAAGCAGGCCATAACGCTGACCATAATCACGGCCGGAACTGCCAGTTCAGACCCACAATGCCACTAAAATGCACCTTTTTGCACTAGGTGTAACTGCCCAACAGCTTATTTCCCACCTGGGACATCCAAACGTGAAAATATGCTGCTCCATTACAAGCAAGTTTTTTTTACATGGCTGTTAGCTGGGGATTTGGACCAGAAGGCACTACTACCCTCCGTTTCCATAACAATAGTTGCTTCATTTTAGGCAGTGACATGAAACTCATTTCTGAATATCTGTCATCTTCACTTTAAACAAAGAACTGCTGTTGATTTGTCTCTTACCTGTTCTGTACCCAGTGTTATTGAGATACACGGCAAAGGTACGTGGCTCGTGAGTAGCCTGCCATGAGGGAGAAGAGCAGTTTTCATTGTTGGTATATATGTTGTGGTTGTGCACATACTTTCCAGTCAGCATGGAGGAACGCGATGGGCAACACATTGGAGTCGTTACAAATGCATTGATAAAAGAAGCCCCTCCATTCTCCATAATCCGTCTGGTCTTGTTCATCACTTGCAAGGACCCTGCAGTAAGAGGTATGGATCATCATCGTGCTGCAAAATCCAATTAGAACATATTGGCTGCTACTATGCTATTATAAGTTAAGTATCAGTGATTAGCTTGCTTTCGGACATCAGTCTGTATTACTACGTAGTGTAGGTTATTTTAGGAGGAAAGATAAGGTCTTTATTAGATAACCAAAAATATTTTTCAGGATTCCAGAAATATTAAGTTCTTTCTTCTCAGGCTTCTAAACAAAGTTAAAGCACAGGCTAACCTAGAAATACAATGTTAAAGTCTTAGAGCTGTTATCAAATTTATAGGTCAATACTTCTTCAAACGTGGCTGTAGGAAAACAGTATGTTACACAGACTACGTCATTAGTCAATGTGCCAGTAAAATATGTAAAATACTAAGATTACCAATGAACCTGTTACAATTATATTAATTTTATCATATAATCAGGCAGAGAGGAAGAGAGAGAGAGAGAGGAAGTAAAGGAGGGAGTAAGAGATGGGGGGAGGAGAGAGAATTCAGTAAAAATTTTTCTGATTGTAGAAAGACTGAGCAGCTCCTGATAGGATCTGTCAGTACTTGCTGACAGCTGTCCAACTTTGCTCTTTCTGTTATCCAGCAGAGCAGAGACTGAAAATTGAGGCTGAACTGTGGATACATCAGTATGGGTCCAGGAAAGAAGTTTGTGAATTGTAATACTTGCACAATTTTGGTGGTGAAGAGAAGTTTCTGGAATTCTAGTTTATGTTTCTTCTTTGGTTTTACAATTAATTTTGCACACTTGAGAGTTGCAGGTTTAAATTTAAATTCACTGAATCTACTGCTATGAGTTTTTCTTGGTGGTTTTGTTTGGGTCACTTGAAAATCAAACTTAAAAAAAAAGTTTTAAAACAATGGAAGAAGTGGCTGTAAAAGCACAAAACTACAAAGGAGGCTCAACTTTAGGTATAAGCAGTAAAATCTTACAAATTATCTTACTAGTTGAAGTTAAGCATGCTCTGTTTCGCTTTTGGGCTAAGAGTCCGTGCTGAATACAAAATATTTTTCATCAAAATTATTTGGTTAAAAAAAAGAAGAGGCAGTTAGCTGTTCAGCATTTCCTGGTGCAGTGCCAACATCTGTGTTTTTAAGGACACATTTAATACCCTGCATATAAGTCACCATCATTTTTGACTCTTTCACAGCCCTTCTTTTCTAAATGCAGAGCATCTGCATTCCTGAACTCAATACTACAAACCCCATGTATTTAGAGATATAAAGAAGTAAGAGAGTAACTGAGAGCTCCTTGAACACAAAAAGTCTCCATTTGTATGAGTGAGATCATTTCACTGAGTTGTTGAGTAAAAGTCAAATGAGAGATCATCCTCACTCTGCATGTCTTGGACCCAAGCTGGCTTTTTCTTTTTCTTTTTAGTTTTTGTTTTATTTTATTTTGCTTTTGTTATAGCTCTCTCATTTTTGAAATGTCACAGTTTATAACTGAGAGTTAAGCTGTGAAGTGCTTGTAGGTCCTCAGATGGAAAGTACTCTGTTCAGGTCCACTGATGTGCAGTAACAGCAGCAGAGCTGAGATGCACTTTCATGTCTCTATGCATAATAAATGAGTAGCTGTTAGGGCACTTCCTCATTCCTCTGCTTGGTCAGCCCTCTGCTCTTGCAAACCTGCTGTTTATGAGTAAGTTTTTCCTCCAGGTATGCACTTACTGACACTGATAATAGATTTAGCCCCCCTGGAAATTCTGAAACAGGCACTGCAAAGCAGGTGAGACTTCCTAATTTGGAAAACAAAACATAAGTAGGAGATAAAACTTGCTGATATAAGTTATAATCCTTTGCTGTCTCTAGCTCTCCTCACAGCTTGTGCTCTTTACCATCTGGCCCACAGTTTTCAGGGCAGACGTACTCAGGCGCTGCCTGACAGCAGGACACCCATGCTCTATGTGAGTGATTGGGGAGAACCTGAGGGGAAGCAGATAACTGGAAACAGCCACTTTGGACACAAAAGTTAGCAAGTTTTGTCAGGCAAGAAATTCAGTGTCACCTCTTAGTCTCTTCTCATGTATCAAGAAATATGTTTGCTAATCAAGGTTTCATAACAAGTTTTAAAGTTGCTGTGGATTTTCAACCAGGTGTACCACAGGTGGGCATCTCTACAAAGGCATGGCTAGAACCACCTTGTCTTTAAATCCGTTGTATGCAAGGCCCCAGGAAGGTGACAGACTTTTTCGGATCTCAGCACATATCCCCATTTTTTCAGCTTATGTTTTTTAGCACTTTAGTTCTAGTGAAGATGGAAAGCAAACCAGGCAAATTATGCCTGATGTGATGTATCCAGATGATGCTGTGATCTCTTCACCCAGTGCTGTGCTCAGTGGATAGTTTATATGGATTTCACTGGGTGGTGCATTAGGTTGTGAACAAAGGTACAGAAAAAAGTAATTTTCCAAATAGATTTTTCCCTCTTTTTTTTTTTTTTTTCTTTTTTTTTTTTTTTAAACATTTTTGCACTTCTCTGGCATCTCAAAGGCCTCTGTGTTAGAAATACCTGCCAATCTATTAATTAGTTTTGACACCTTTCTGACATTATGCAAGTTATTCTTTACAGTGAGGATTATAAGAGTGATTGGGGGGTCATGGTTTGAGGTACTGATGTGTGCAAGTGATAAGAGAATCTGGAAGGTGGGGGAAGAGACTAAAGAGGGAGCAAAAAGTTGTAAATACCTGTACTCATGTCTGAACAGAGTACAGACCTGACTGCAGTGGGAGCTGCGGCCACTGCCCTGAAGAGCAGCAGTAGTTATCTCCTGGGGGGCAGCAGTTCTGGGAGTTGGTGCTTTGCCTTGAGCGAGACGCCCATTTGCCTCAGTTATTTCTCGGCCCTCAGGATCTTAGCAGGGGAAAGAAAGTGCACAGAGGCACAATTCAACCAGTCATTCTCCAGCTTCTGGGCCCAACTATTTGCCGAGTTTCTTCAAGAGCTATGGGCCAGCCTGCTTCATGCTGCTTAAGTTGCCATCCACCAGTTGATCTGTAATATCCTTCCTCTGTGACACATTCCTCTCAACATTCCTCTCAACTCTGACTGGAGTTGTGGAGCAACTTGTGGGTTTTATCGGGTAAGTCGAATGAGACAGCAACTCTGATGAACTTTGCATTCAGAATGCAAAACTGAGAAGGATGGTGCAGATCAATAGGAAGATGTGCATACTCCTACACTTTGAGCACTACCTAAATGCTAGCTCCCTGCCTTTTGCAAATTTTGCTTTGGATATCATTTGCACTCAGGCAGCTGAATATTTTGGTTCAATGCACATATAAGTGCTCTGGAGACAAATCCTTCCTAACTGAAGTCTATAATGTATCCTATATGCTTCTATGTTCAAGCATTCATTTAGAACAGCTTTTAGAAATGTCTGTGCAGGGAGTACTATAGCAAATAATCCATATTGAGAGACTTTCAGTCTAGTGATTTTTGGATACCAATGCCTAAGCTTTATTCTGTTTGTGGCAGAAAATGTTATTTGTCTCTGACCTCTGGAAAACTTAAGATTTTTCTCAGGAATCACTGAAGGGCGAGGGGATAATTCACACATGGAAAACAGTATGGCTTTACTTTTCAAATAAGCAGAATGATTTATTAGCAGAAGTGTGAATGATGCAGTACAGTAAGTCTTGGGGCTGAATCCTGTTTCCTGTGAAATGATCTACAAAAAGGGAAAACCTGTGTCTTCATTCAATGCAGTGGGAATGCATACACATCCAGGCTATTGATCAACTGCTTGCTAATAGGAGCCAGAGCACTCTGCGAATATCCAGAGCGGCTTTCAAAGAAGGGAGCTCCACAATATGAACAAAGTGGCTTGCCACATCCTTCCTCCTCTTTCACCACTTGCAAACCCTCTTGCAAGACTGAAGACAGCAAGTTGGTAATGTTGTTTAGAGACGTGTCTGCTGACCTACCTTCCCCAGCACCCTGGAGAAAGTAGGCTTTTTCGGACCACAAAATGGAAGACATGACTTGACCCTTTTAACAAAATTTTCAGAATGACTCTATCAAAAAGAAATGCATTCCTATTGCAATAGCTGTATTTTAGGCCAAAAATAGTGCCAGAAACAGCCATTCATTATGCAGTACAGCTAAACAGAGCAGACATTTGAAAGAGTGAAAAATAAAAAAGGTAAGGTGGTCTCAGATCTAAAGGCCTGGTCTTGGAGTTCTGCTGCATAAAAGCACTACCTCTCAGTCATGAAATATAGTTTATTAATTATGTTCTCACAGCCCCGAAGGACTGTGTAAATTACTATTGCATCATGACAAATACTAAAATGCTATCAGCTAAAGAATTTCTTTTAGATCTAGACCACTTTCTGTCAATAATGTTCTGGGTAAAAGGATGTGATTTTAGAAAAAAATTAACTATTTTGTTATAAGTTTTCCAGAATTATGCATTTTGATTTTTCAATGTCATATGGCATTTTGTTTAGAAACTTACTATGCTTTTATTAAAAAGCATGTCTTTCATTAAAAAATACTAAGAATGCAAGATTTCATTTCAAATTGATTTGCCATTTTTTCACCTTTTGATCTTACCTCCCACTCCCAAAACTAAAATATTTGCTTGGGGGTAACCTAAAATGATCCTCTTTCTCTCCTTGATTTTTCGGTTTGGGCAACAAACCAAAAAAAATCAGTTATATGCATAACTACCATTAATATCTTTCTAACTTACTTAATGGAAAACATTCAAAGGCCTCCTGGAACATCATCCAAGTGTTTTAACTTTTTCCACCCTAAGAAAAATCTGTGAAAATCACTTCTGGCTGGTACGTCCAGGTTGTGCTCAGATATTTAGTTTACTTGTGAAAGCAAAACTATCCTATTTTTATACATATATCATAGTTTTAAAGCAGATGGATTTTAAACACCTTAATAATTCATAGAAATATTAAGCTTATGTCCTGAAACCAGACCAGTTTGTCTGTGTGCATAAACATGTCAGATGACATACATGCATGTGACAAATACGTGGAGAATATAGATACTCACCTATACAGCAGTGAGGGAAAGGTTAACTTCACAAAGCTCAAATTTTTAAATGTTACAGAAAGGCACAAAGTGCAAAAAGGCTTTTCCTGTAAGTTTTCTACATGTATGTCCTTGCATGTATTATTTAATCCTTTTATGGTACTGATTAAAGCCTTCCATGGCAGATTTTGATAAGCGTGTATTTCCTAAAGTCTGTAATTAAATGTGATGAATGCTATTAAATAATACATGTTAACTCATTTTTCAAACTTGTCTCACATTCAGATATTGTTCCTGGACCAGCACCTTCTCTGAATTTAAAGTACTTTCTGCTTGGCAGGAATTTCTGAAAGACATGTGACGAAATGAAGTAGCAAATAATTATTTCTCACCTAGCTCCACATCTTGATCATCTGTGAGTACAAGGATGATATTTGGTCTGATGTTTTTTCGCTCTTGTTGCACACGTCCTCTGAACCTCGGGGACTTGATGGTGGAACAGTGACTTGTTAGCAATTCAGTACTGAGTACCGCCAAGATGAGTGCAAACCAAGAAGACTTCATAGTAGTTCCAGTATTTCAATGAAGCGACTGATCTAGAAGTGCTTGAGCTCTTTTTTTCAAGACCTGTAAGAAGGAAAAGAAACTCTGCTCAAGCAATAAATAAACTCCCAGTCATATAGTGAAATGATGACACTTAAAGAAGTCAAGCCTGACACATACAATTTAACATGATTATAATCCATATTGTCGAATAAGGAAGAGCTGTACTCATTTTCTAAGAATAAACTCGGTCATTCTGCAACTACGCTTTCTCAAATAATTTTCACTTGAAGTCACGCCACTGCCTGCATTTTGTATAAGCATGACTTCTGGTATACTCCTCACAGTGCTCCTTTCCTACATCCTACGCTTCTTTTTATGCAGCTTGTTCCTTACATTCAGTACCTGGGTGCAGCAAAAAATTGCTGGGATGCAGACGTGTTCAGAACATCTGTAGGAGGAGCCCTGTAAGAAGGAGAAAGAAGAAGGCTTGTCAGTCAGAGACCTCAGTGCTGTGGCTGTGCTTCAAAGTCTTCAGAACTGTTTGTAACAGCTTCTTTCTCTGTCCTGAAAGAAAAGAGTAGAAAAAATTTGCATTCCTTCCAGCTTCCTTACTTAATTTAATACCATACCTATGCAGTAGTTAGATGGCACCTTGGCTGCTAAAGATAAAGGACATTTATCCTTTATCATGCCATCAAATGCAGGTGCTTTTCCAACAGTTACAGTCAGCCTGAGATTCTGAGAATAAGTGTTAATTCCAGCGTATGCCACCTGGCAAGCGATAAAACTATTTTAGGTTAACTCACCTGCATGAGCGACTAATCCCTTACAAAGCAGAAGGGAGACCATGGCTGTCATTTGCAATCTGCAATGGATCACTATGTGAAAAGTCATCTTCCCACTGACAAGAAAGCTCATATTAAGTGACAGTCCAGATGATCTTACCCAGCATTGTGAAAGAGCGTAACTGTCCCTCAATCAATCAACGACGGACCTGAGTGCCTCATCCATAATGCACAGTACCTCTGGCACAGCCTTGTTCTTGATACTCCGCTTCCAGGCTCGGCTCAGTATGTTATCAGAACCCCCTCTCCGTGCCTGTCAGTCAAACAGCCTTGCTTTTGTAAGACCTGATGCAAGCACAGAGGCTTGGCTTTGCTGCAGCAGATTTAAACCTGCAACTGAAAATGACTGATTGGCCTGGGGAGGAATGGGTAGCCACTTCCACTTTAACATTTTTGGCATTACTGACTGAAGCTCTGCAAAACCATCCTGTTACACAAGAGAAGGGAGGGGATATCTGGGGGCAAAAAGGAAGGGGGTGGGAAAGGAACCGCAGAGTCATGCGTGCTCCCTCCAGGGTATTGACCTGCCACATACATTCCTTCTGTTTTTTATTTTGGGACTATGGATAAAGCACAGTGACATTGGTCAATAAACCCACCCCCTCCAAAACCACCCGAGCCCAAGAACATTCAAGGGGTCTGTCCAAGGAGAAGCCTGCATGGGAACTGGGGTACACATTGTATAATTAGACTGGAACATAATTTGCAAGGAGATCTGTATACCTACGGCTGAGACTTCATATTCAGACATGCAACATTAACTACAAACAGATTAATAAACAGAAATAATTTAATGAGAGCAGCAGAAGACAAAAAGGGCCCCATCACTCACCTAAAAATGCGTTAATAGGAAGGTGCTCTAAATTTCAGGGGGAGAAGCCATAGGAGAGGGCGGGGATGGGACTTGATGCTGGACTGCTAGAAAAAGGAACGTGTTCTTGTTTTCACATACACCTTTTATTTTAAGCTTCACAAGCTAAACAGTTTCATGCTCCTCACTCTGGCAGGCTGTAATTATACCAGAAGAGTGTGAATATCTTTAAAAGGAAAATTCAAGTGTCTGTTGCAGAGAAATCCTGTCTTTCATTGTCTCTGCACCAACAAATAGTCCAGCCTCCAAGTAACATTAGGGCATGGCAAAGCCAATACAGGGGATTGGCATTTAATGTTAAACGTCATTTCGGTGATGACACACCATTCAGATAAGTAGACTTGAAGTCTGTAATTAGTCTGGACTGATTTTTAAAAATACTTAAATTTCCATCTATTTATTCTAAGTCACATAAAAGTGGACAAAAGCCCTGAAGACCAGGGTTACCGGAGAAGTCAGCCTTCTTCTGACAGACACTGGACACCATATGCTCTTGATGCAAAAGCGTAAATACAATATTTCTCTAAATGTCTGATCTTTAAATAGCAAAACTTTGACTCACCTCACAAAGCACGAAAGGCTACGTGAAGTGAGACTCAATGTTTAGTTTCTTACCTCAGTTGTACCATACAGCAAACTTTTTCAGACAATGTTGACCCAGAAAGCGCAGTCATTCTGACTGCGCTGAGCAAACATTGGCATCAACGTGTTTGAATAATCCCCTAGAGTACAGAACTGCAGGTTCCTGACAATTAAACCTCAGTGCTAATAAAATTTACACTAATCCAAATGCACATTAACAAGTATTCTTTATTTCACCCCCTTTGGTCTATATCAGCTAGTTTTTAAAAAATTCTTTTGCTTTAGCAAGTTAGGCAAGAGTTTTCTAGGAAAAAGAGAATGAAGAGTTTCTTTTCCAACTCTAATTTTTCCCCTTGATGGAAAAAGGAAAATATCAGGACTGATCTACATGTATAAAATCAATGATCCAACTTTCGTTGAATGGTTCTTGCACAAGAGCACAGCAATGGCACCTTTTGTTACTCAGTTTTGCATATGACAAATCTTTATTAAAAGGTGATATTTGACAACTTGTCCTTTTACAGCATGTTTCCCAGCTCTAGAAGGAAATGAAGTAAAGAAAACTGTCAAAATACAGGCTTGATAGGGAAGACAAAGCTGCAGTGTTTGTGTTGGACACTGGCTGGTAGTCTACAAGTGCCCCTACAGACACGGTAATTTGTCTTGAGAAGCTGATCAAAACAGGTGAAATTCTAAAACAGACCTTTTCAAATTCACACGGGGAAGCAAGCTTAAAATATTTTGTGCAGTGCTCAGAAATCAAGATGGTACTATAACAAGTAAACAAGTGCTGATCATAACTTCTATATATGCTATTTGGAAAATTAATATGATATTTTTCCTATAGAACACACCTAAGACAAATGAAACATAGTTAGTAAATAAACAAAACCAGAGAAATCCAAAGAAACTATTTTTCCTCATCTGGATGTAATTTTTTTTTTCAGTCATTCCTTTTTTTTTTTTTTTTTTTTTTTTTTTTCCAGAGGAGCACAAATTCCTAGTTTGTACTCACCTTTCATGCGATAAAATCTGAAAACCTGGATCTTTAGTTGGTTCTGTGCTGCTTGTATTATAACAGGCAATTCAAGGACTCGTTGGCATGGAGAATTAATTACCCGTGAAACTTGAATTACATTGGCAGGGCACTGCAAATAAGAGCTACAGTGCCACTTTTTGTGATGTGGAATGAAAACTAGGAGGACTTTATTTCTAGGTCTCTTAAAAGAATATCTTTCAGTGACCAGGAAGAAAAGCAAAAGGCAGAACTGTATCTTTTGAAACTAGTCATAAATTTTATATTCATTATGGCCAAGAAGTGTTTAAGATTTTTCAGTGCGTTGGCTGAAAGTGCTTAATTTGGAACACAACAAAAGACAGTCAGTTCTCAAAAAAGAGCATTTTCCCTTTGAAAATCCACTTTGTTTTCATGTCCACATTTTTTACTATGTTCACTTAAAGTGCCATTTTGTGTTGAATCAACAAAAATCTGTCCACAGTCACGCACTTTTTTTAAGAAACAGGGCACTGCATATCCACAACTATCCTCCAGTATCAGCTTTAAAGATAGAATCATAGAATCATAGAATGGTTTGAGTTGGAAGGGACCTTAAAGATCAGCCATTTCCAACCCTCCTGCCATGGGCAGGGACAGCTTCCACTAGACCAGGTTGCTCCGAGCCTCATCCAACCTGGCCTTGAACACAAGACGTATTGACTTCTTCATATTTAATATTCTAGAAATGTGGCTTCCACATATCCTTACACAGGGAATCTGGGTTAGATGAACAGATGTCTTGTTTGTAAATCGGAAATCAAATGCAGGGACAACGGGTTAGGATACTGGACATATGTCCATCCCAAATACCATGGGCTATGCAATTCCCCACACCAGTAATTCATAACAAAGTGGTAACAAAGGGCAGACAACTTTGTCTTCTCTGCACCAATGTGTTGGTGCTTTCTGTCAAGCGTGAACAGTGAGGACAACACATCATCCAAAATCATAGGCAAAGGCCTACTGTTCTAGTTGCCTTTCCTTAGAAACAAAAATGGATCAACTCTGGCCAATAAAGGAAGAAGCAGTAACAATAATAATGCTAGTAATAATGTGGGCTGTGATTGTGGAGCTTGGGAAACAGAATTCTGCTTTCTGTTCCCCTGATATTAGCAATAAATATGACCAGTGGATTGAGAATGTAAGGTAGCACAGGGATCCTATATCAAGAAACTCCCAATGTGGTAGCAATTTTGTGGTTAAGTGCTTTGTTCCTCATTACTGTCCAGTATCCTACTGATTATTTCTCTGTACTTAGGTTTCCTTGCCTCCAAAAACTGACATAGTTGCATATAATGAAGATATAATCCACAAATCAATGTTTTGCAACTTAGGACATTTTTGAGATTTGCTGACAAGTGCTAGGAACTTGGAAAAAATATATCAAAAGCACAGAAGAAGAAGCAGAAGGCCTAGTCATTGCAAGTGACAGGTTGCCTCATTTTCTTTATGCAAAAGATTATCTTGGATAATTTCTTCTTACAGGTTTCTCAGATAAATAAAAAGATAAAGCCTCTCAAATAAATAAAACCTCAGATATCAATCACCATAAAAAATGAGCTTTCCTTCCTCACCTTAAGCAGAGGAGCACTATCTTTCTATGTATTTTACCTCTGACCTGCTGGCTCGACAGTTTTAGCTTTGATGAACGTTTTTCACAGGAATATGACCCTAGTGTTCTGTTTCCTTAAAATCAGACTCTCCATAAGAAAAGTAGAAAGGCAAAGGACAATAAGAGTTCTCATCATTCATAGAAAGCAGAGTAAGGATTCTGCTATTGACAGTGTTTTGTAATTTCCAAGATGACCTTGCAGGTTGGTCACATTGATGGGAACCTGGTCAGCTCATTTCAAAAACCTGCCAGTCTGCCTGTAGTGCCAGAAACTGCTGTCATTGGAATAACGTTAACTGGAGGTGGCTTCACCTGCCAGTGCCCCTACAAAGGTCGGATTCAGTAGTTTATGCCTACCATTTTCAGTTCTCTGCTTTAAAGTGAAATGTGTCCACTTAGCAATGCTGCTGTACTCACAAACATTTTGCATACTTTCTCCAAGGTGAAAGGGAGTGAAAGGGGTTTTCTCAGCCACACACATACCGCTTCTGTGAATCTTTGATTGTACTCACGAACATTTTGCATACATGGAAACTCCAAGGTGAAAGGGAGTGAAAGGGGTTTTCTCAGCCACACACATACCGCTTCTGTGAATCTTT